TAGGCCAAGGCCTGGGCGGGGGCGGAGGGAAGTAGGGGCGCAGTCCGCGTGCGGAGACAGCCGACGCGCGCGACGCCGCCTCTTCCCGTGCTTTCCTCCACTAGCATGGGGCGCAAGTTGGACCCTGCGAAGGAGAAGCGCGGGCCGGGCCGCAAGGCCCGGAAGCAGAAGGGCGCCGAGACCGAGCTGGTCAGATTCCTGCCTGCAGGTGAGGGTCCGTCCCTGCGGGGAGGGCGGCTGGCAAGCATCCTTTCGCCTTGGGAGCTCGTATCTTGCGGAATCCATAGTTTCTTAAAGCTGACTTTGGAAAATGAAACGTGTTCATGAGTTGGGAATGGGACAGCTCGTGGCGAGTCCGGGAGGTCAGGTGGCAGAGAAGGCTGCACCGGACATTTCGGTGTGGGGCAGAAGCTGCGGATTACTGGAGTATTAGCAGCCCATTTGGAACTCTTAGGACCTGCCGTATCATTTCGTTTTCTAAGAAAGTGGGCGCCGAGTGTGTCCATAACTTGTACAGAGTATTTAAACGGCGGAGCTGAAACTGCCTTCTGTGTGTTGTAGGGTATTGTTCGTGAAGTCAAATCTGCCTTTAATAACTCAGGGAGCTGAAAATAAAGGAAAAGGAAGAAGGAGAGAGAAAATTTTTGAGTCGATATTGTTATCAGAATGGTGATGTTGCTCTTTATTGAAACCTGGAGAAAGCCCAGTTTGTACTTTACCTTTGTATTTTGAGACAGGGTCTTGCAGTATAGTTCAGGTTGGCCTTGAATTTGCAGTCATTCTCCTGTCTCATCCTCCCGAGTCCTGGGATTAGAGTCCTGGTGGATTTTAAATGTTTATGTATTTTTTTGTGGTGCCGGGGATTGAACTGAAGGTTTTCTGAATGAGCTGCGTCCTTGGTCCTTTTTTAATTTTTAAAAAATTAAAAAAGAAAATTTTTTTTTTTAGGATTTTTAAAAATTTTGAGACTGGATCTCAATTTCTAAATTGCTCATACTTGTTATCTTCCTGCATCAACTTCTCAGAGTGCTGGAATTATAGTCGTGTACCACCATGCAGATTTAATTGTTGAACAATCAGATGAGTGCTTCATCTCTCTCTCTCTCTCTCTCTCTCTCTCTCTCTCTCTCTCTCTCTCTCTCTCTCTCTCTCTCTCTCTCTCTCTCTCTTAAATAAAAAGACAGAGTTTCACTGTATATCCCAGTCTGGCCTGGAACTCAAGGCAATCCTCCTGCCTCAGCCTGAGTGCTGGGATTACAGGAATACATCACTGTGCCTGGCATTTTTCATTTTTGTTTTTAACGATGCTAGGATTGAACCCAGAGCCTAAAATGTACTAAGCATATACTCTGAAGTTGAGCTTTATGCTTCTAGCCCTTCCTTCACCATTTATTCATTGTTCCCTCTTTGGGGCCAGGGATTGAACCCAGGCCCTTGTACATGCTGACAATGTGGGCTTTACATCCCCAGTTTCTGAGCTCTCTGCTCCTTTTAATTAATGTGCTGGTCCTTTTCCTACCTGTATTTCTGCTCTCATATCCCCCCCTATGATCTCATATTCTGCCTTTTGCAGCTGGTGATGAGAATTCCAAGAGACTGTCTAGCCGTGCTAGAAAGAGGTAAGCATGAACCTCCAGGCTTGCCTGGATTCAGTTGTTGCTGCTCATCTTTAGCCACATGGAGGTGGTTGAGGGAGAGGGCTGTGACCTGTGTCATTTTCTCCTGGGGGAGATGACTTGGCTGGAGACATGTTCCCATTTCTCACTTTGTTCTTTTAGGGCAGCCAAGAGGAGGTTGGGGTCTGTTGAAGCCTCTAAGACAAATAAGCCTCTGGGGACCAAACCATCAGCTGGAAAGCTACCGAAAGGTCAGTGGAAGTAGAAGCCGGTGCTCCCTGAGGACTCTGCGCATCCTGGGTAGGGGCAGACTTGCTGAGCACCGTGGTGCGAGAGGAAGAGCAGAGGTTCTTCCTAGAGGTAGTAACAGGCCAGCGCTGTGGGCGCGGCCGTGTTCTTGGTTTTACTCCTGGATTCTTCACATCCTCACAACTTTTGCAGAAGCAGTCCAGACACCTGGTGAGAAGGGAACACATGCTTTATTTAATGCTGCTCGAGGCAGGAAGCGTCCAGCACCAGCCCACAGCAGTGATGAGGAAGAAGAGGAGGAGGACTCTGAAGAGGATGGCGCAGTGGAGCAGAGGAACTTGTGGGGCTCTGAGGACAGTGATGCTGATCTGGTAGATGACTATGGAGCTGACTCAGACTCAGAGGAGGGTGACGGGGAAAAGGTGAGAGTCACTGCTGGGCTTCACAGACGGAGCGTTGCTTTTTCGTTTCTTCCAGATTCTTGAGACTGCCCCTTACTGACAGGTTAGAGGGTTTTGATGTGCCTTTGCTCTTCCCTTACTGCATGGCGTCCCTTCTCAAGGCACTCAAGTTTGAAAGAGCATTCTGTAGGGTAAAGCATTTTAAAAAGGGAGAGTGCTTATTGCTGGTGAAGACGTGGAAAGGTAAATTTGAATGCCTCACCATCAGGAATAGACACGTAACCACATTCTTAACAAACTAATTGTGATCTGAGAACTTTAAGTCTCTTCTGGATCTGGTGCAGTGGCTCTGTAGTCCCAACTATGTGGGAGGCTGAGGCAGGAAGATGACTAGAATCTGGGAGTCTAAGACCAGCTAGGGCAACATAATAAGAACCTGTCTCCAAAAAAAGTTACTTTTCTTTGGATTTAATAATTCTGTTTTAGAAGATGATCTAAAACATCAGCAAAAGTTGTTTACTGAGATGCAAGAAGAAACTGGAGCAGTGTGGAAAAATAGAAAATCTCCTATTGCAACCCAGTACCTTGCACATGCCAAGCAAGCACTCTGCCACTGAGTTAACACCCTAGCCCAACTCCATGTGCACTCTTTCCCAGTTTCCCCCCTCTATCCGCAGAGTTACTACTAATTTTCCAGGCACCGTATGCATCATGATGCCAAAGAGCTGAAGCTGTCAAGGCATTGGCTTTGTTTAAGTAGATAGTAGTTCCTGCATCTGATGAGTTAATGTTGGCCATTGTGTTTTGAGAAAATGCTCACAATAAACTAAATGAAAGAATAAGAAACAAACTTGGGAAATGCCTTGTGGTTTGAACTACTCATATAAAATCTAAAAAGAAAATATGAAGCTGGGCATGGTGGCTCATGCCTGTAATCCCAGCACTCGGAAGGCTGAGGCAGGAGGATCGCTATGAGTTCGAGACCAGCCTGGACTACATAGTGAGTTCCAGGTTAGTCTCAACTATATAGTGAGACCCTGTCTATAAAAACCAAAAAAAAAGAAAATATGAAGTGGTCCCCAAAGGCAGTTCGTTTTTTTTTGTTTGTTTTTGGTTTTTTTGATTTGTTTTGAGACAGGGTCTCACTATGTAGTTGAGACTGATCTGGAACTCACTATGTAGCCCAGGCTGGTGTTGAACTCAACAGTGATCCTCCTGCCTCAGCCTCTGGAGTGCTGGGATTACAGGCGTGCTCCACCACGCCTGGCTTGGCAGTTTGCATTTTTGTTAGTTTTTTCTTTTTTCTTTCTTTCTTTCTTTTTTTTTTTGGGCGGGGGTATTGGGGATTGAACTCAGGTCCTTGTGTTTGCAAGGCAGAAGGCAGAATCACTGAGCTAAATCCCCGGACCCAGTTCATTTTTTTTGTCTGTATGGGTGTGTCAATGTATTTTATTTTAAGTCAATACATGTGAAAGGAAGAACAACGTAACCTTTCAATCCGTCACTTACTTTCAGCAGTGACCAGTGTTGTCAGATCTTCCCAAGCTAGAGATCAAACCCAGGGCCTTGTGTGTGCTGGGCAAGCGCTTTCCCATGAACAACATCCCTGGCCTCTGTGTTAAATCTTACTCTTTTAGTGTCCATATTTGCCTCTGAGAGCAAGTGTTCAATCTGTATTGAGTAGGATGCCAGGGTAGACAGCATGGCCTGGGAGGTTGCAGGGTGGGCTGTGCAGTTAGCCACTTGTGTCTTTCCAGTTGCTGCCTATTGAAAGAGCTGCTCGGAGGGAGAAGACTCGGGAAGCTGCTGCTGGGTGAGTTTGGAAACGGTTAGGATAGCGGAGAGGCGGCAGCTGCGCTGGAGGAGCTGTCTGTTTTGATCTGTAATCACTGTTCCTGCACTTGTTTCTAGGGCCCAGTGGAGTGAGGAGGAGACTGATGAAGAGGAGGGCATGTTCCCTGAGTCAGGCCCCCCAAAGGATGAGGCAGAGGGGGGCCTGCAGATCAATGTGGATGAGGAGTTTGTGCTGCCCCCTGCTGGGGAGATGGAGCAGGATATCCTTCCAGAGCTGGAGGCTGGGGTGGTAGGAGGAAGGTAGTTTGGAGAAAAGGGATATCACAGCCCTACAGTTAAGTGAAACAGTTCCTTAGCAGGTCCACATGCCCAGGCTCCAGACCTGCAGCGAGTTCACAAGAGGATCCAGGATATAGTAGGAGTACTGCGTGATTTTGGGGCGCAACGGGAAGAAGGCCGATCTCGTTCTGAGTATCTGAACCGGCTTCAAAATGATCTGGCCACTTACTACTCCTATGGTGACTTCCTGCTTAGGAAGCTCATGGAGCTCTTCCCTGTGTCTGAGGTATGGGATGGCCATTCCTGTGCCTCTTACACTTCCCCTTACCTTATCCCCTGTGATGATGACATTTAGCCCCCTTCTTTCTTCTTGCCTGACTCAGCCCTTGCCGTTTTGTCTCCTCAGCTCATAGAGTTCTTGGAAGCTAATGAAGTCCCTCGGCCCATTACCCTCAGGACCAATACCTTGAAGACACGACGCCGAGACCTTGCTCAAGTGAGGGGCTAGTGTTGAGTCTCTGTCTCAGGGAGGAACCAGCTTCTGCCAAGCAGGGCTGCCCAGTTCACCCTGGCTGGCAAACCTGGAGAAACCTGTGACAGTGTCATAGGCTGAGGGGTGGGAAACTCCTTCCTCCAGATGCTCCCTGGGACTAGGGCAGGACTCCTGTATCATAGTGCACTGCCTTCTGAGCAGTCCTTCACGAGCTGGGGAGGCCAACTCCTGCCCCAGCAGAAGATGTGTGTGCATAAGAAGTGTATCTGCTAATTTCCAGGGACCTCACATGAGAGGTCCATGCTGTGCAGTGTGCTCTCACATATTATGCATCTTCTAGGTCAAGGTGACCCTGTAATTAACATTTATGTGCTGTAACCAATAACATTAAGTTTTAGAATGAGAGAGGGCTGAGCTTCTTGGAAAATCAGGGTTTTCCCTGATTTTCCACTTCCAGAAGATGAAAAAAAAAAGGACAGGGCATTTCGATCCTTTGGGATAGAACTTAGATCTTGAGTTAGGAGCTTGAGGTTAAGGAAGAGCAGGGGCTAAGAGTATAGATCAGCTGTTGTACACTTGGCTGGCACACGTGAGGCCCTGGGTTCCAACTCCAGCAGTGAAGAAAGGGGGCGGGAAAGGGCGTGCAGGTGAGGTGGGGGGGGTCTGAGTTGGCAGTTGTGAGCGGACGCTCTGGGAGTGGGGTATCATGGGGTTGCTTGGTGGACCTGGTTTCAGGTCTTGCCCTGACTCCTGGGTAGCGTGTCCTGTGAAGCTTTTCAATCTTCCTCCCTCAGGCACTGATCAATCGTGGGGTTAACCTGGATCCCTTGGGCAAGTGGTCCAAGACTGGACTTGTGGTGTATGATTCTTCAGTGCCCATTGGTAAGTGTCACTGTCAGGAGCCCTCCTGTCCCTGCCCTTGTCCCAGCATATCACAGAGTGGCCCTTCCCCACAGGTGCCACTCCCGAGTACTTGGCCGGGCACTACATGCTGCAGGGAGCCTCCAGCATGCTGCCCGTCATGGCCTTGGCGCCCCAGGAACACGAGCGGATCCTGGACATGTGTTGTGCACCTGGAGGGAAGACCAGCTACATAGGTAGGCGGGTAGGCCGGGTGGCTTTCGCCCAGCTCTGCTTGTGAGAGTAGAGGGGTGGTGACTGCCTGGTGCTCACAGCACTCTCCAGGCAGCTGGCAGAGCAGTAAGGAGCAGTTTCTGGAGTGGGTCTGGGCTCCTGTGACAGCTGGCCACTTACTGTCCATCTGACCTGGGCAGCCTTCTCATTCTCTTTTATCCCTAAGTGGGGTTGGAGTTGTGCTGAGCTGGCAGTTACATTGCACTGGGGTTGTGTGGGTTGACTGTGTTTAGAAGTCCTTGGAACCTGTTGTGTTGGCATACACTTGTAATACCAGCACTCAGGAGGCTGAGGCAGGAGGGTCACAGGTTTGAGGCCAGCCTGAGCTACACAGTGAGACCCTATCTCCAAAAAACAAACTGAAAACTTGTCCTCAGCACAGTGTTGAGCATGTAATAAGCAGTGAGTCATTTTACGAGGTGGTGTCACTTAACAGCAGTGAGTTAGTCCGGTGGCCAGAAAGCTGTTCACAGGAATGGAAGCCACTGGGCCGGAGTGGGCTGGGCAGACCCATGCTGGCGGGAGTACAACTTGTCAGGTGAAGTTGGGCTGCAGGGAGGTGCTGTGGCCTTGCACATTCCTGGGCTGGAGGCAGAGGGTTGGGCTCTCAGCTCTGGTTCCTCCCTCCAGCCCAACTGATGAAGAACACGGGTGTGATCCTCGCCAATGATGCCAATGCCGAGCGGCTCAAGAGTGTCGTGGGCAACCTGCACCGGCTGGGAGTCACCAACGCCATAATCAGCCATTACGACGGGCGCCAGTTCCCCAAGGTGGGACGCTCCCCTGCGATAGCAGGAAAGGCTGCTCTGCAGGTGGCAGCAGCATGTGGCTGACATTCCCCTGTCCACAGGTGGTGGGTGGCTTTGACCGCGTCCTGTTGGATGCTCCTTGTAGTGGCACTGGTGTCATCTCCAAGGACCCTGCTGTGAAGACAAACAAGGTGCGGCTGGGGGTTCGCCGAGGGGGCGTGGGGCGGAGGAGCACTCTGGGCTGGGTGACATCACGGGCTCTCCCTGGGACAGGATGAAAAGGACGTCCTGCACTGCGCTCACCTGCAGAAGGAGCTGCTTCTGAGCGCTATCGATTCTGTCAACGCCACCTCCAAGACAGGCGGCTACCTCGTGTACTGCACCTGTTCCGTCATGGTAAGTCCTTTGGTGACTGTGAGGGAGGCGTGGTGGGGAGGGCAGCCCCACCGGCTGACTCCCTCTTGGCTGCGTCTGCCTTGTGCACAGGTGGAAGAGAACGAGTGGGTGGTAGATTATGCCCTGAAAAAGAGGAATGTGCGGCTGGTGCCCACTGGCCTGGACTTTGGCCAGGAAGGTTTTACCCGTTTTCGAGAAAGGCGCTTTCACCCCACTCTTCGTTCCACTCGGCGTTTCTACCCTCATACCCACAACATGGATGGTTTCTTCATTGCCAAGTTCAAGAAATTCTCCAATTCTGTCCCCCAAGCTGGAACAGGTAAGCGATCTGTGCATTGTCCACTCCTCACCCTCTACCCCTTGTGCCTCTCCAGAGGCCTTGTGCCTGCTGGGAAGGGAAGATGGATGCTTGCGTAGCTCGGACTTAGACCTAGTGCTTGCTTGCAGGAGTCTCTTAAGAGTTGTTCTTGAGCCCTGGCCCCATTTGAACAGTTTCAGGAGTTTGCGTAGATGGGGCCTTTTCCTTCCCTCTCTCCGGCGGCTGTGATGGTTACGCACTAATGCATCTGGGCTATGAGTTGTGCTTTCTCTTCCGTTTTGGCCTGGGGTTGACTTACTGGTAATACAGCTCTGTGGTGCAGCATCCCATTCTGGCTTGGCACAGGCACTGTGAGCTATCAGCAGTTCTGAGCCTATCTCACTAATTGCAGATCCTTTTCTTGGCCATCTTGAGGCTGGCTGGATTTCAAGGGCTAGGGCCGGGTTTTCTGAACAGACTCAGAGCACTGCTTGTGGGACTGTAAGCCTTGGCAGTTGGAGAACAGAAGTGCTCTGAATACAGTTGGGAGATTTGCATTGGAATTTTTTTTTTTTTCTTTTCCTCCTCTCAACCTCCTGCTTTTTCTTTTTCTTTTTGTAGTTTTGTGGCTTGAACTTGACCGGGTGTTCATACTAGTCAAGCACTGTGCCACTGAGTTATACCCCTAGCCCTAATATTTTTATTTATTTTATTTTATTTATTTTTGGTACCAGGGATCAAACTCTGGACCTTGTACTTGCTAAGCAGGTGGCTGCACCGCTGAGTTAAATCTCCAGCCCCATAGCCCTAATGTTTTTTTAAATGATGTCCCTTAAAAAGTCATATCCAAATATTAACACAAAAATCTTAAATGCTACTTAAGTACATATTTATCAATCTTCATTGATGCTTTACTAGCTTGTTTCTAGTTGCATATTATTGCATTTTGTCAGAATTCTCATTGGAGGGAAAAATTGTCTTTTGTTTTAAAAAATTACCCTTCCTGCCTCATTCACGTTTATTCTGGCTATGCTAGGACTCAGCCCCTCCTTAGGGATGGCTTGCTACCTACTGTCCTCAAGGGGGCGTGGCTCTCTGTAACTCCTTTTGGCCTAAAGATACATAAAATATACACAGTGATCTTTTTTATTTTTATTTTTTTGAGACAAGATCTCCCTGTGTAGCCCAGGCTGGCCTTGAACTTGGAATGATTGTCCTGGCTCAGCCGTGCATTACATTATGCCCAAATGCAGTGATCTCTTAACACAAGTGTAAAGAGGGCTTGCATGAAGGCCAGGTGATACGAGTAAGACAGATAGAGGTAATCAGCTCTTAGCCACCATCTTGATTATGTGGAGCATTGGCCAAGAGATGGCACTTCCCATATTTTAATAATCTCTGCTTATTTGCTTTGGTAATGACCAAGATTATATAATGATAAGGCTCATCTCAAATACCTGTTTAATTTTAACCCTAGGGAATTCTGCCACAGGCACCCCTGCAGACCTAGATTCACCAGACTTAAAGGTTCAGGTCACTTCCAAGTCTCAGAACAGCAGCCAGCCTGCCAAGAAAGCCAAAGTGGCCACGAAGGCCAAGCCACCATTGCAGAAGTGCCAGCACCCCAAGAAGGCATCCTTTCAGAAGTTCAGTGGAGTCTGCAAAGGGGCAGACTCAGAACTGTCCACTGTACCTCCTGTCACAAAGGTCCAAGCGTCCTCCAGGCTCCAGGACAGCAGTCAACTCCCTGGAAAAGCTGACGTGACCAGGGAACCAAAGGGGACTGGGGAGCTAAAGAAATTGCCTTTCTCCGAGAAAGCTGCTTCACCCAGACAGTCTGCCTTGCCCAAGGGTGCGGACGATGCCAGGCCTGCTGTTCCATCCCTCTCTGAGACTCGCTCCACCCCTAGACTGGGGGACCTGGGGAAGGCCAAAGGGGCTGGCAGGGTAAAAGGGCAGCTTGCAGAAGAGCCTGGGAAGAAAGCCAAATCCCAGCGCCGGTGTGGCAGGCCACCCCCAGCAAAGAAGAGAAAGGCTGCCCCCGGGGTCGCCAGCCAGCTGCTGCCGCCTTAGGCGGCTCTCTGTCCTTGGGATTCTTCCCACTCCTTCCACCCCTGCTGTGCATACACGAGATTTAATACCTTGTCACCCCTGGTCACTGTGTATTCTTTGGGAGACTGGCTGGTGGGCGCGGTGCCAGTGGAGGAAACCGGTGTGCCTGACCCAGGTGGGTGGAGGGCGAGAGCAGGCCGATAGGGTACAGACAGGGTGGACTTCCTTCCCCGGGAACCCACGGGCTACCGGAGGTTGAGATTTCTGTGTCTCCAGGCCCGCGCCCGCCCGCCGGGAAGTGCCGGGGTTTAGCCCCCGCTCGTTCTCTTATTGGCTCCCTTTTTGCCCGTCTCCTGACCTCTGCCCCCTCACCCGGCCCTCTGATTGGCCGCCTGGGGCCCGCGGATGCCTCATTGGCTCTTGTCGTTCGCCGTTCTTCCTGGCTCAAGCGCCAGGATCCATCTCCCGGTAGAAGGCGCAGCCATGAATCCGTTATTCGGCCCCAACCTCTTCCTCCT